AAGAAAGAAAGAAAGAAAGAAAGAAAGAAAGAAAGAAAGAAAGAAAGAAAGAAAGAAAGAAAGAAAGAAAGAAAGAAAGAATATTTAGATGTTGGCAGTTTTTCTTTTTGGAGATAAATATAGCCAGTATAGGATTAGTTTGTGAAGCTTAATAAATTCACATCACAGGACTTCTCCAATCTTTCATGAAAACTACTTTGAAGGTCTGAGCTAGGAGTTACAAGCCTACATTGGATGTGGAAACCTCTGGAACTGCAAAAAAAAAATAATAATAAAATAAGAGCCAAACTGGGCCTAGGTATCTGTATATGAAGTTGAGCACTTTAAGCAAATGGATGGATGGATGGATGGATGGATGGATGGATGGATGGGACTGAGGTTTGGTTAGGAGGCCATCTTCAGATTAAGTTTATTTGTCCAACCTATTTATATGCCCGTCCATCTGCCAGAAGGAACTCTGAGTGCATTTTAGCTGTTGTGTGTTTGTGGCTTTGACACTTTGTGGCAAACCAAACCTTCACAGGAATCTTCCAGGAGGAGGGCAAAGCTAGATGGTTAAGGCAAACTAGGTTCTTGTTCCTGCTGTGGGTTGACTAAGAAGGAGAGGGAAAATGCCAACTCCATCCCGAGGGAGTTTTGCAAATCGTGCCATGAAACATTGGCTGGAGGACCATACAGACCAAATTGAAAGACAGTCAAGGTTAAACTGAAAAGTTGAGAAAAGCTTCCTGGAAACAGTTGGCAGTGGACTGACAAACTTCCACTCTGTTGCCAAGAAAACTGAAGGGCTCAGCGCAACTGGGCACCTAAACTAATCAAAACTAATTTGAAAAAGACTTTTAATATGGAATGGGGGACGATGCTCCCTGAGTGGCAATCCTAGGCTGTGAGTCCTTCAGGAGCCAAGTGACCAAGCCCTCCTAAAACCATGAGGACTATCAGCCTGAAGCAGTGCAAGGTGGCATGCTGAAAACAGAGCTGACTAGCTCCTTGCTGCCTATATGTGGACCCACATTTGCATTATCCCAGCCTAATTTTGCCCTTTGTTATTCCCTACCCATCCCCTCTTTTCTCCAGTTGACCCTTGTCTCTATTCTCCCCCCCCCCTCATTCTTGATTCAAGAAATTATCTAAAATAGCAAAAGATAAACAAAAGAGTTTATTGGTGTAGGTTTTTCTTGCAAACCAAATCTTTTTTGAAAATAGGTCTTTATTTTATTGTTTTTTAAAAGTAAAAGACATAGGTCAACTCATATACAAAAAAGGCTCTTTTTAGAGCGAAAATAAGATATTGCTTTTTAAGGTATGTTAAGATAAAAAAAAAATTTTTAAAAAGAGCATGGCTTGCTATTATTGTAAAGCTACCCTCCGAATTGCAAGTCCATTAATGTGGTCAGTGGCTTAATTAATGGGTATAACAAGGGACATAAGCCAGGAGGGACATAATAAAAAGCAGAACCAGCTTTTGCAAAAATGTACGTGGGGGGGGGCAGATGTTTTCTCGCTGAGCAAAAGCACATTGTTGATCCGGATTGCAAATCAAAAGTTAGTGGGGGAGGGGAGAAACGGTGTGAAAAGTTCACCCCCCAGGAGTCCCAAAACTTGAGCTTCTGCAGAAAAAAAAATGTCCTTCCTTCTGATTTGCACTATATGTAAAATCGGGACTTCTTCCACATCTGTAAAAGGTTTCCATTGCAAACAAACCGCCCTCCTTTCCAGAGCCCTAGCATTAAAGCGCTATTTTTTTTTTATTTATTCCAGAGATCATCCAGTCGGGCCCGATCCAAATGTCAGAGGCCGCACGCAAAAATAAAAAACCAATGCGTAGGTAGGACGGCGAAAAATGGGGAAAGCCGTGGCTGCTCCAAACGTCCTAGAAAATTCGGGATCGTTCTCCCCCAGGTTATAGTTTACTCGTGGAAACTGTCTTCCCGTGGGATCCCACTTCCGAGCCGCTTTTTATATATACACACACACACACATATATACCCAGGATCGCATGATTTAAGCAGGTTTACTGTACTCGGAAGGAAGTTCCGAGGCGAGCGGGCAGAGGCCGGGCATACAACCCCAGAAACTCTCGGGCGGCAAAGCCAGAAGCCTGGGAGCGGCTGATGTGGCGGCGCGATCCGCAAAGCCGTTGAGCGCGCCTTTGGTCGCCTCAAGCAGAGTCACTGCGAAATTCAGGGCCGACTGGACGGTGCTTCAAGTCTCGAAGATCAAGGGGGGGGGGGGGAAGGGAAACTTGGGAAGTGACGGGTTGGGCTTGCACGTGGGAACCCCACCACTTCCAGCCGACTCCCGGGAAGACGGACCTTCGCTAGGCGGGCCGGGTGTCTTACGCGGCCGAGGCGAGGCGAGGCGCGCCCGGAGCTGCGGCGCTCTAGAAGGGGAAGACCGTCTCCGAGAAGCGGAGCGGCAGGTAGGAAAGGAAGGGGATGCCCAGCTGGTAGAACCGGCCGGGGAAGTGGGCATCCAGCACCAGCGAGGCGTTGAAAGCCGGGCGCGCCTCGCTGCTCTCGCCCGGCCCGCCGCTGCCCGCCAGCTGGTCCAGTTTGGAGACGGCCGCGCTGGGCTCGCCTTTGGCCGGCGCCGCCAGGACCTTCCGCGCCAGGATGCTCTCGATGCTGAAGCTGCGGGGCTTGGCCGAGCCCCGCGGGGGTCTGAGCGGCTCGGCCCGGTTGGCAGCCAGCGCCGCAGCCCTCGGGGCCGCCTCGGGGTCCTGGAGAAGCCTGGCGGCCGAGGGCGCCCAGAAGCGCGCGGCGGGACCTTCTCCAAGGCTGGGCGCTCGGTCCTCGGGGCGCGGCGGGGAGAGGCCAGCTGGGGACCCCCGGAGGGGCGGTTCTGCCGGGGTTGGCCCTCCCGCCGCCGTGGCCGCCAGCCGGCTCTCCTCGCCGCCTTCCTCCTCCTCCTCTTCCTCCTCCTCCTCCTCCTCCTGCTCCCGGCCGCCGGGGCTCGGCTTCAGCTCCTCCTCTGCGCCGGGCTGGAGGGGGAGGCGGGGGCGCTGCTGCTGGCCGCCGGGGGGGTTGGAGAGGCGCCTCTTGGGGGCTTCCCCGGGGGCGCCCTCCCGGTCGAGCCCGGCCTCCTCCGCTGCCTGGGGGTCGCCGCGGACTTTTCTCTTCCTCCGCCGGTAATTGCCGTGCTCGAACATGTCGCTGCAGCGGGGATCCAGCGTCCAGTAGCTGCCCTTGCCCGGGCGGCCCTTCTCCCGGGGCACCTTGACGAAGCACTCGTTGAGCGAGAGGTTGTGGCGGATGGAGTTCTGCCAGCCCTGCTTGTTGTCGTGGTAGAAGGGGAAGCGCCCCATGATGAACTGGTAGATGCCGTTGAGCGTCACCTTCTGCTCCGGCGCCTGCTGGATGGCCATGGCGATCAGGGCGATGTAGCTGTAGGGCGGCTTCTGCGGGGACTCCTGCCTGGGCAGCACCCCCGCCGCCGGGGCGAAGCCCAGCGCGCCCGACAAGGCTCCCCGCTCGGCCCCGTAGAGGTAAACCATCGGGGCGGACAGCTGGCCGGGGTAAAGCTGGCTCATGGCAGATCCGGAGTCACTCCGGCGCGCGGGAGCGAGGGCCGAGGAAAGGGGGGGATCTCCCCAGGCCTGGCCGGAGCTGCCTGCGCTGGGCCCGCTGGCGACGGCGCGTCCTGGCCTCTGGCGCGCCTGCTCTCCTTCTGCCCCAGCTGCATAGCGCGCTTTTTTTCCCCAGAAGTGGGGAGGGAAAAAAAAAACGAAGGAGAAAAAAAGAGGAGGAAGAAGAAGAAGAAGAGGAGGAGGAGGAGGAAGGGGGGGGAGGAAACGTGCGATGCTTGTTGTAAGTTTGCGATGCTGTGTTGACTTAGGGCTGGAAAAGAAACGGGCTGCGATAAACAGCCGCGGAGCGCGCCGCAGCCCACCCACATTAATTAACGTTTCCCTGCGAAGGCTGCAGCCCTTCCACGTGGCTGGGCCGAGGGGGGCCCTCCCCCGCTTGCGCCCCTTCATTTGTTTATAGCATTAGTCTGTTGATAAGTCTGACCACCCAAGTCGAATCAAGCTGTGTTTATTTGGAAAAATTTCCGGGCACCCAATATATAAACGCACCGATCTGATGTTTGAAAATCTCACGTCCAACCCGCCTCCTCGGCCGGGTCCTCCCCCCGACCCTTCCGCGCGCCCCGCCCCCTGGCTGGGTCCTTCCAGCGCCCCGCCGCCCTGGGAGGCTGGAAGGGAACGAGGGAGTCGAAGGCGCGGCTGAGCGCCGGGAGGCCGCGGGGAGAAGGTCCTTCCTTCCTCCTTCCCTCCCTTCCTATCCCCTTCCTTTCTTCTTCCCTCCTTCCCTCTCTCCATCTATCCTCCTCTCTTTTCCCTTCCTTCCTTCCTTCCTTCTTTCCCATTTCCTTCTTCTCTCCATCCATTCATCCTCCTCTTTCCCCTTCCTCCTGCCTTCTCCTTCCTTCTTCCTTCCTCATTTCCTTCCTTCCTTCTTCCCTCCCTCCCTCCTTCCCACCATCCATCCACCCATCCACCCTCCTCTTTCCCCTTCCTTCCTTCCTTCATTCATTCCTCCCTCCCTCCCTCCCTCCCTCTCAGCCAGAAAGTTTTGCTCACTCTACACACACACACACACACACACACACACACACACACACCGGACCCTGCTGGTAAAGGGCAGGTGAAGCTGGTACCTTAAACCAAACCTCTTGAAGATACCCAAGGCAATCTCTGAATCTTCCATTCCAAGCATCTCTCCCCCAGCAGCCCTGCCCTTTCTGAAAAGCCTTCCCATGTAACCCCTCCCAAAAAAATACCTGTCTCAGCGCCAGGTGCTTCCATTCCCCATCAGGCCACAGTAGTACCTTCTCCGGCCATCTGTCTTGACCAGTGGAAGTCCTCGTGGGTGCCAAGGTCCACAGCTGTATCCCAAGGATGCCCAGTTTCCTTGTTTGGAAGGATTTTTTTTTTCACCTGCCCCAAGGTCTCAGTCCGTTCATTTCAGGGGATGATGGCTAGATCACCCTCTCTCCCATTTCCCATTCCCCTCCCTGACCAGGATAAACTGGGTTAATTGCTAACACATCTCACTTATTGAATTAGCAGTTGGATGGATGCCTTTATCTGGAATGAAATTGCGATTGGCTTATTCCGATGTAGCTTTTTTTGCTTGTTTGTCATCCCCCAAGGCTTGCAGTTAGTTAATTACCTAGCTTTGTTTATTTCTAGGGGGGGGACCCCACCAAATGTTTTCACTGGTACCCACCCCAAAGGTGTCAGCACTCATGCACACAAAGGCACTGCTGTCTGCTCTGGGTCCTTTCCAGTTCCAAGCAAGTCAATTTCCACCTTTCCTGTTTGCCAACTTTGCTTCTAAATCAGCCATTGGGGCATTCTCATTTTGGTCTCATTCTTGAATCTCCCCTTCTCACTTCTCTAATTATTATATAATTAGATTTGTATTCCACCTTTATTACTCTATAAGTAACTCAAGGTGGCAAACATACCTAATACTGCTTCCTTCTCCTATTTTCCTTAAAACAACAACCGGATGAGGTGGGACAAGAGAGAGAGAGAGAGTGACTGACCCAAAGTCACTCAGTTGACTTTCATGGCTAAGACGGGACTAGAACTCACCATCTCCTGGTGATTGGCCCAAAGTCATCCAGCAGGCTTTCAGGGCTAAGACGCGAGACTAGAACTCATTGTCTCCTGGTGATTGGCCCAAAGTACTCATGGCGTCTCACTTCCAGCCTGGTGCCTTAACCACTAGACCAAACTGCCTCTCTCTATATATATACAGTTACCCATCTGGCATCTGGAGAACATCAGCTGCAAACACTGTGCATGTGGGAAGTGTTCTGTTTTGAACAGGCGATTCCTTCAAGTAGCCAAAGGCAAGCCACACAGATGGAAATTTGCAAAATTCCTGCAAAAATTAACCCGTTTTGTTATTGCGTGCCTTTTCTTTTTGTGGGTCACCACTTCATCAGCTGTATGGACTAATCCAAATTGGCGATTCTAGGGTGCAAATAGTAAAACAGTTCTGTTTTGGGGTTTGAATGGAGCTGAGTCTGATTTCCCCAATTAAAATTCAGAGGTTTTTTTTTAAAAAAAAATTCCAGACAGGTGCACTCCCTGGCTTTGGAGAAACAGAACCAAAGTTTGCTAGCTCCAAAACTAGTAAAGAATAAAATGAGCAGCATTTAAAACAACCTGAATATAAGATCGTGTCCGTTTAATTTTTGCATTTAATACCATCACTGTCCAAAGAGTGAATTGTTTTCACCTTCGATGGCTGTAAGAGAAAAGACACAGCAACAGCAAATTTTAGGGAGATCTTTTTGGGAAAAGCTCCCCATATCCCTACCTTCATGAAGGCCAAAGTCCTCAGGTAAAGGCGATGTTTCTCAACCTTGGCCACTTTCAGATGTGTGGACTTCAACTCCCAGAATTCCCCAGTCGGCAGCCCATCCATTTTTCATTTTGAGAGTTTCTTTTTTCTCACAGGAGAAAGCATGTTAGGACCATATTCCTCCTCATCTCAATTTGGCCAGCTCATGAGATTGTAAACTCAGGTTTAACCTCCATCACAAGTTCCGCAAAGAACACTTGGAAAATCCGTTTCATCTTGGGTGTCAAGTTAGAATACAGTGGAATTAACGGGTGGTGGGCCTTGTGATCGAGAACATTTCAAGGCAACCAGCGGGATGGGCAAGGAAAGATCTCCATCTTCATATTCTCACCCAGATTTGAGAAAGTCCTCAGTCTAACGACCTTCTCAGGTTGTTGAAAAGCTAAATTTGGTCGGGTGCAGGGGCGTTCTGACTTGAAGACCTGTGGACTTCAACTCCCAGAATTCCCCAGCCGGTGTGGCTTGGAGTTGAAGTCCACAGGTCTTCAAGTTGCCAAGGTTGGACACCCCTGGTCTAGTGAGAGAGAGAAAAATCCTTGCTTTGAACACAACATTAAAATCCAATCAGTAAGTTATCTTCATGGGGAGTCTTGATTGCTATTAGTGCTGAAGGCAAACAAAGAGGAAGGGGACAATTTATTCTCCAAAGCACCTGAAGGCAGGACAAGAAACAATGGATGGAAACTAATCAAGGAGAGAAGCAACCTGGAATTAAGCAGAAACTTCCTAACAGGGAGGACAATTAACCAGTGGAATGGCTTGCCTTCGGACAGACTTTGTGAGTGCTTCATCACTGGGGGTTTAAGAGACTGGACAGTCACTTGTCTGAAATGGTCTAGGATCTCCTGCTTGAGCAGGGGGCTGGACTAGAACAAGGCTTTTCAACCAGTGGTACGGGTACCACCTGTGGTACATTGGCACCTGGCAGGTGGTACGCGACCATCCTAGAAAAGTGGTAGCGGGGGAGGGGAATGAGCTGAACCGGTGGCAGCACCGCACAAGCCTGAGCGAGAGATGGCTGGAGCTGCAGGGCTGTCAGGGCTCAGTGGAAGCACCACGATCAGCGCCAGGATCCAGCTGGAGCTCGGTGCTGATCCTGGTGCTTCCGCTGAGCCCAGAAGAAGCACCGATCAGCTGGAATGTTGCAGCCTCTCCAGGGTCTAGTGATTTACATTCAGATGCTTGGCAACTGATTCATATTTATGATGGTCACAGTGTCCCAGGGTCATGTGAAGTGGCCAAAACCTGCTGCAACCACCCAGCAGACGGGGGGAATAAAAACCAAACACCCCCCACCCCACCCCCGCTGCCAATCCTCAACAGAAATCCTCACAACAATGGAAACCTCGGACAGGAGGAAGAGCACCGCCGGGTGGGCAGGCAGATGTCTTGCTCGACTGTGGCTTAGGGGTCACTTTTTTCAGTGCCATTGTAATTTCGAACAGTCACTAAGTGAACTGTTGTAAGTCGAGGACTACCTGTATTTCATCAGTTTTTTCCTCCTTTTTTTGGTCAAGTTTTTGACACCTTGCTAGGCGACTGGTGGTACTCAGATGTTGCCGTATCCTAAAAGTGGTACAATGGGTGAAAAGGTTGAAAAGCCCTGGACTAGAGGACCTCCAAGGCCCCTTCCAGCTCAGTTCTGAGTTTTACTCTGAAAAGTCTCTCCTAACTAGAAGGAGCCACGTGGCCTTGTCTGGTTCCATCTTGGCCACCCAGCGGGCCGTTTTCTCTACTCAGCCTCCCCTTCTCCTCGCACAGCAAAGGCAGGCAAAGTGGTCTCGTATGTGTTTGACATCCAGCCTCTTGCTGTAATCCAAACCTTTTGTGTGGGGAAAAGGGGAAGGTATCCTTTGATGGCATTTGAGGACAGATTATTTTTAATTTTTTTTAATTACCTCCATTCCGGGGTTATTCAGGGATGGGGAGCCCCCCCCAAACGTCATTAGAAAGGGAACAATTAGCAACGCCTTTTCCACCGCCCCCCTTCAAGAGCCTGAGTATTTGTGATCTCCAGCCTGTTGCTTTACATTATGTACTTTCCTGTTTACAAGGAAAAAAAGGGGGATTTACAACAACTTTACAAGAGCACACAGCTGGATGGTGATTATATAAAGCTTCGGGGATGGTTAGCTTTTGTATAAACGTTTGGTGAGTCTGATATTTATCTCTGTTTTTGTTTACTGGCGTCATAGGTTACTTCAAAGATGGTTGCAGTTCAGAAAAAAAAGGTGTGTGCGCGCACACGTGTGTGTGTGTGTGTGTGTGTGTGTGACTGTGTGTCTGTGAGTTTGATGGTCAGGGAGGGACAAAGGATTTGACACAGGCCTCCTTTGGCTTTGTGCCCCTTTCTGCCTTCCCCTTCTCTGTCACCTTCTCTGTCACCCTGCCCTAACCTGAGAAAGATGTAAAATAGGACATCCCAAACTCCCCTCTATTGAAATCATCAAGTTACTAGTCCCTTTGAAACTCCAAAAACGCTCTCCTGTTTCGTCTGAAAGCCCCTGAGCTAAATCTATAGAAAATTCTCTGTCATCTCTTCTCAAGCCCTGCCCTAACTTGAGAAAGGTGTAAAATAGGACATCCAAAACTCCCTTCTATTAAACTCATCAAGTTACTAGTCCCTTTAAAACTGCAAAATGTTCTCCTCTTTGGTCTGAAAGCCCATGAGCTAAATTTACATAAAATTCCCAGGTACTTTGCTAAGAGGGGCTGAAATCTAAAACAATGTTTCCCCTTACAGGAGCTGGGCTAAATATATTCATTATTTGATCAAGCTTGTATGCCACTACAATTAAGAGACTCTCGGTAGGCTCACCGAGCAAAGCATCACAATACCTTACATTTTCTGGCTCCCTTAAATGGAAATGATATTCCATGTCCCTCGCATCAAGAGCCAGAGTTAAGAAAACTGGTCTGTTGGGATCGGAGGTAGAGAATTCGCTGGGAATGATAAAAGTGCAACCATAAATGAAATAATGGCAGATATCTGCCATCGGATAGTTGGTCTGGCCTAGTGGGCAAAGTGGCTTCTCTCTTTTCTCGACAAGAATCCGCACCCAGCACATTCCTCTCAGTCCTTCACTAAAGTGCCACCTTTGAAAGAGAGGCCCATCAGCTACAACGGTGGAATGAAACTGCCACACACAACACTTTGCTTCCAAGTTACAACGGCACTGAAAAAGGTGACTTAGGATGGCTGCTTGACAACTGACTCACATTTGTGATGGTTGCAATGGCCTGGGGTTTCAGGCGATGCCCCTTTTGCGACCCTCTGACAAGCAAAGTCCACGGGGAAATCAGATTCCCTTAACAAAAGTTGTGTTAATCCATCCATCCGTCAGTCAGTCAATTGACGTCGCTAAGTGAGAAGTTTGTCCAATGAGTTTGGCCCCATTTTACAACTTTTAATGCCCCCTTTGTCAAGCGGATCCCTGCCCTTGTTAAATTAGTCACACCATTGTTAAGTGAATCTGGCTCTCCCCCCCCCCATTGACTTTGCTTGTAGCCAAAGGGGATCGCATGATGCCAGGGCACTGCAAACCGTCATAAGTATGAACCAATTGCCCAGCATCCAAAGTTTGATCACGTGACCCTGGGGAGGCTGCAACCATCGTAACTGTTGAAAAAAACCAGTCATAAGTCACTTTTTTCAGTGCCTTTGTAACTCTGAATGGTCACTAAATGAATCATTGTAAGTTGAAGACCACCGACTTAAGCGCTCTTTGCAGTCCCTTAACAATTCAATGTGCTGAGGGGGGTCTGCAGAGGTATGGTGAATAAATCAGCATGCCCAACTCAAGGTCCATTGAATCAGGTGGGCCTTCTCACTGTGTCCTGTAGAGGTTTTTTTGAAGCACACCTGTAGAATAGAATAGAATAGAATAGAATAGAATAGAATAGAATAGAATAGAATAGAATAGAATAGAATAGAATAGAATGGGACCTTGGAGGTCTTCTAGTCCAGCCCCCTGCTCAAGCAGGATAATCTACACTATCTCAGTCAGCTGATTGTCTAGTCTCTTCTTAAAAACCTCCAGTGATGGAGCGCCCAAGATTTCTAGGGATAAGCTGTTCCACTGGTTGGTTGGCTTCACTGTCAGGAAGTTTCTCCTTAATTCCTCAGTCGGGCTGGCCAAAGATGCACAATGGGGTGAATGAGCCAACCAGCATCAATCCTGGCTAAGCCAGCTGACCAGCTAGCCAGCATCGGTCTATCCGGCCAGCCCAGGGGACATCCGTGGAAATTGCAAGCCAGAAAGTGCGGGAGGATTGCAAGACGTTAAGCACGGCCTTTTTGACTAAGCCTATTTAGGGACGCCATCCCCAGGGAACTTCACATGTGTCTCTTTAGAAGCTGCAGTAGAAGGGAAATACGTGGGTTATTTAGTATCCTATGACTATCACTAAGTGTTGTGTCTTATGATTTATGATGAATGTATTTTTATGATGATTATGATCATGATTTATCACCTGTTGCTTGTATGTATATTGAGAACTTCTGCACCGGAGAAAAATTCCTTGCATGTCCAATCACACTTGGCCAATAAAGTATTCTATTCTATTCTATTCTATTCTATTCTATTCTATTCTATTCTATTCTACTTTCTATTCTATTCTACTTTCTATTCTATTCTATTCTATTCTACTTTCTATTCTATTCTGCTTCTACTCTATTCCTATTCCTATTCCATTCCATTCCATTCCATTCTCTATTCTACACTGTGTTTTCTACGCTCTACGCTCTACTCTCCACTCCACTCCACTCCATCCCATCCCATCCCATCCTATTCTATTCTGGGGAGGCAAAAGAAAGGAAACCTTACCGAGCCCTTGAAAACACGTTTCTCTCTGGAAAAAAAGCGAGATCGTCCCCCCCCCCCGCCGCCCCAGTGAAGATCCTAGCGCGACGGATCCCATTCTGCGCTCTTTCTGACCCGCGTCTTCGAATTAAATGATGGGGATCCCCCTTTGGGAATGAAGACTCCCCGATGTTGACCTGAAGCCGCGGCTGAGTCAGGAGGCAGCAGAAAATGGGATGGAAAGAGGTTCCGCCACCGCCTCCAAAGTCAGTTCGGCGTCTCAAGACCAATTCGGAGTTTTAAAAGGAGAGCGGAGCGGCAGGATTCGGAGCGGTGGAAGGGAAGGACCGAGCCCGCTCTTCCTCCGACCCTTTCGCGAGAGGAACCTTGGGCTGGAAATCGCCCCGCTCTCCTTCCTTCTTGGAAACGATTCAGCCAAAGCAACAAGCGAGGTCCAGACCCAACGGGTTAAAATCATAATCCGCATTATCAGAGGAAAAAGAATCACATTCCGACTCCGGAACCAGCCAAGGAAAGCAGCCACGTCGGAACGAAAGGAGAGGTCGAAAAACCCAACGCGCCGCGGCCCCGCGCTTAAGAGATATACGGTATTTTTAGAAGCACCAATCGGAAGCCTGCGAGCTCTTGATTGGCCCCTGGGGAGAATCTTCTTCTCCATCTCCGAAATTTCGTCCTAAGGCCCGGATCGTTTCGTGGCTGAAAAGAGAGTCCGGAGCTGCTTCGCTGTCCCTTTTGTTCCACCACCCCCGGCCTATACTTCAATCACAATCAGAATAGAGCTGGAAGGGACCTTGGAGGTCCTCCAGTCCAACCCCCTGCTCACTTTTAACCTCTTGATTAAGTCGTGGTTTGCTTGAGCGCATCCTTACGTCCAGTCCTTGATCTCTGCTCCTTTAGGATCAAAGAATAAGGTGGCTTTGTTGGGATGGGGGAGAGGAGAGCAGCTCCCGGGAGAAATCTGCTCCTGCGCGCGAGACTCTGGCTAGAGAATCGAGGCGAGTGGGTCGTGTGAACCCAGCCTTAACTGTTTGCCTGCCCTGCTTAAAAGCGGGTTTGGAGCTGGGCTGAGATTGGAATTTCAGCCTCTCCTGATCCAGTTCTTAACTGCTGCTCCTCCCCCTGCTGCTGGGCTCTTAAGATTAAGAAGGAAATTTCGTTTAAAATTAAGCCAATCGTTGGGTGTCTTAAGAGCCTGTGGCAAAAGATCAGCCAGTGTCTGATTTATCCACGAACTATCTAGCTCAAAGCCGCAGAAAGGGATCTCCGTTTTCTTACTCTTTCACATTGGCAGAAAGACCCGGAAGACTTTAAGGAGGATAAAAGGGTCTTCGTATTTTGCAAATATCACCCAATGTCACCAACCCTGATTTTAAAAAGTGGCGGCAGGTAATGTTGTGCCTGTAACCTGGGTTCAGATGCTCTGCCCATCTCGGGGGTTCTACAGTTTACAATGGAAGTCGAGGGGAAAATGTCTTTGGGTATAACCGCTGTGCCAATTATTAAATGATTATCAGTCGTATCTTAATAGTTATTCTAACTGAGCAGTGCTTCTCAAGCTCAGCAGCTTTAAGATGTGTGGACTTTAGCTTCCAGGTGCACTTTAGGTGACTGAAGAAAGATTTGTGCGCTCATGTGATCAATGCACAAATATTCTTTGTGTGTTGTGTGTGAGAGAGAGACAGAGAGACAGAGAGAGATCTTATGATTCTCTTGACTTTAAAGCGCTTGGGCTGCAATTTTATTTACTATTTTATTTATCTTGCCTATATTATTTTTATAAATTTTCTCCAGGACAACAACCCTGTGAAGTAGGTTGGGCTGAGATATATTAGCTAATTTGGGTCAGAGGTGGCTTGTTTAGGAATGAGACACCACCAGGAAATTGCAGGACTATTGCCTTGATCGGAAAGGGTTGGGCTTTTTTTTAAGCAAGCAATGAGAACCTTCCCACTGCCAAGAAAATGGCATGGATGTGACCAACTCAAAAGAGACATACCCTAATCATTGTTATTAATGGTCAGTTACATTTCTATGCTTTTTTTAGTGGATAGGAATAGATATTATTACTGTATCCTGCAAACCATCCAGAGCTGTTGGAGTGGATGGCATATAGGTTTTCTAAATTAACAAATAAACAGATTTGAGGTCTAACTCCACGACTGGGTAAGCCACAGACCACATATAAGTGGTGCTGGATGGCATCCTTCTGTGGTCTCCAGGATGTTCTTGCTTTGTGCCATTTCCAAACCCACCTTTGGAAACACGGCTACGCTTGAGAAAAGGGCACAGACCAGGATTGCGTGCCTGGACACAGCTGTGCACGTGTGGCCGCCAGACCACCAACTGGCACTGCACTGCCTGTCTCTGGTTTGGTCCAAGTCTCCTTCCAGCACATCAGAGTCACTTTGCAGTCATCTCCACATCTGCCTTTCACACAAAGCTCATTTATCAAACAAGAATCACCAATAACCAGATCACAAGGCCAAGGGCAGTTAACAAACAAGGTATCTACAAAGATTCCCTAAGTTTGATACCAGCAAGATCCAAAGCCAGAAGAACAAGGAAAGGAGAATGTAGGGAGAAAGAGGTTATTAAACCAAGGAAAGACCAAACAGCCTCATTTCCACAGTGGGCTAAATTTGGTTAGTTGCCATCTCTGCCATTTTGTGTGCATCACTTGGGATGTTGGTTAATTTATGATCCTCTGGGCAGTGTAAATCCAGGAAATAAATTAAAGGGTAGCTCTTGACTTACAACCATCCATTTAGCAATCATTCAAAGTTACAACAGCACTGAAAAAGGTCAGTCCTCACACTTACGACCTTCGCAGCATCCTTGGGGGTCAGGTGATAAAAATTTGGGCCCTTGGCAACCAACATGTACTGATGAAGTTATAAGATCCTGGGGTCCTGTGATTTTGAGAGTTTCCCAGCCAGCTTTGGACAAGCAAAATCAATGCAGGAAGCTGGATTTGCTTAACAATCATAGCAGACAAGGTTGTAAAATTGGGTTCAATTCGCTTAACAGCCATCTTGCTTAGTGATGGAAATTGTGATCCCTGTTGTGGTCATCAGTTCCAGGTTTACGTGAACTGGGCTAAGCACGATGTGTGAATTTCTTCTTGGTGATCAGAGGTTAGCTGAACCCTTTCGGTAAACAGTTTGACTCGTGACAAAAGCCAGCAGAGAGGGAAAAAGACTGAAGTTCACCGGTAAGCTCCAGTGTTTGTTTTCTTTGGGGAATGC